CGCACGATTAAGCTAACCAACTTCTCCTACAATCACATGTGCCAGAAGCCGTTCGCACTGACCACACTCCACCTGAATATCGACTACCGTTTTTGAAATCGGACAGTCTCACCCCACTGCTGTGGTTAAAATTGTGAACAATTTGGGGTGCCTGCCAATTCGGGCCGCATTCTAACTCGTATCATAATGCATCTAGAAGACATTTTAACACTTCCCTACTTTAGGTTTCCGGCGTGGACAGGGCTGCCTCATCCCCCTTTGAATGGTGCCGACGAACCTGTGCGCCATCGGCGGATCCAAAGATATCAGTAATTCATGCTTGCCTTATTTTGTCACGATTCCTTGGCAAATCCCAGCTACAATCACAACCACAAACGAGTCACCCAAGTGACGCATTTACGGGGCAGTCAACAAACCCAACTACAGCGTTGCGATGACGGTACCGCGATTGCCATACCCAGTCGGATAACCTGTTCGTAGTTCACCACATCCATAATATTTCCTGGGCGAGCGTGTAACCTTCCTTCAAACTAGGGTTTCATACAAACTCGAGATGTACTTCTGAACGTCGGACCGCAGATCACGAACGGCTGCTCAATTTAGAGTTTTGCCGAGAAATAGGGCCTAATTATTACTCATGTAGCCTTGAGAATATTCCCGAATGCCATACAAAAAGAACATTGATGGAAACAGACTTTTCCACGAAATTTCATGCCATCTTTACGGAGACATCATTCCAAACTACTAACAACCATCACTCCATGAATTAGCGCCCATAGCACGTTTAGACGACTTCCAAAAGAACCGCGTCTGCATGGATAGATTTCATGGGTCGAACGAACACCATTAAATGCTAAAAATTTGTTACGGTTTCATTCGTCCAAACAGTAGTTTTAAAAAATTGCGATGTGCGTTCAAGGCTCAGCCGAGGCAATGATGCCTCAACAATAAAATTAAATACGCTCTCAAAACTAACGTGAGAAGCTAACTAAAACAAACCCCCAAAAAATTAAGCCAGGTTATGACGGTGTTGGGTTTCGGCATGTGTACTATTAAATTCAACATATAAACGTTCATTATGCATTTCATTCACAAAAATCTCTGTAACGGTTCGACCACACAACGAAAAGACATGCGTACAGTGATAACATTCTATTCCCTGCTATGTTTATTGATTCCGACTCCTAGCACGGCGAATAGTAAGAAGACGAAAAAACCTCGGACACCACTTTATTGACTCAAACAACACGTGACCAACAAGCGCCTCAACGAAAAATGACAATGCATATATATATAAATACATGTGTTCATAGGTTCACCATGAAAATGCTGGAAGTTCGTTAGCACACACAAAGATACCGAGTGTTTGGTGATATTGATATCCCCAACACGTTCCACTTGTAAATATCCTTAACCTACTTGACGTGGGTCGACGTGGATAAGTTTCGGCTGGCAGCGGCGTCGATCTGTCCACTGCCTGGGAAGAAGTGCTGGATCAAATGCTGAGCTGCCGGTCACACTCTTCTTTCGAGTTAACTCAGTTTTCAGCTCAAAAGTATCGGGCAGTATGTCCAATGGTACGGTGCCCGAACACACTTGAGTTTCCGGCGTGCTGTTAGTTTGTTTTGATGCCTGGTCCAGGTGTCTTGACCAACTGACAAGCCGTACATCACTTAAGGTGTTTGCGCGAGATAGGACCTGTAATCGAGTAATCATGTACCGGGCGGCAGTCACGGATAAGTACGGGCTTTCCCACTTTGAATGGGGTTCCAGCTGCCACCAGTAAGGACCATGACTCAGTAGATTGTTTTGGCAACACGGAAGAATGCACAGTTTTCAGTTTACGGGCCATAAGTTGCCTCTGCATGTGACCACTGGTTCGTAAGCGTAATTCGGAGTTGTTCGCTACACAAGCAGGAAACTCTGAAGGGCTTTGACATACGTCTCCTCCCTTCGAGGTTTAGGCGAGACCATCTTGAATGTGTCGACGAACTGTTCTGCTTGACCGTTCGATTGTGGGTGGTGCGGTGGTGAACGAACGAGTGTTATCGCATGTTGAGTGCGAGAGAGCGGAGATGAACTGCAAACCATTGTCTGAGACGACGGACTCCGGTAAGCCATCCTGACTGAAGATGTTGGATGACACACACGGTGTAGTAGATGTTGTTGGAGGTGATACTGGAGTAATTTCTGGCCACTTGAAAAAAGCGTCAATCAAAAGCAAAAAAAGTGCCACGTATCAGCCCTGAGTAATCATTGGGGATCCGAGATAAAGGCCTCTCAGGTCGAGGCCAAAGAACCGGTGGTTGATGTGGCAGATTCTTGGCAGCTTGTTTGCACCGGGAGCAGTGTTTTACAAAATCAGTGAGGTGCTGATCCATGTGCGGCCTCTACGTGTAACTGCTAGCTATTAACCTCATACGGTTGGTCCCTGGATATCAAGAATGGAACTGATGGAGAACTCGATAGCGTAAAGATTGACGAATGACGACGAGATCCCCAAACATTGGGTAATTGTTTTCAACCGATAGTGCATCTCCGCAATGGAGGAGCTGTCGAAGGCAATCATCTTTTAGGTTCGGAGACCATCGAAAAATTCACGAACTGAATCGCCTTCTGAAGCGTCGGATCAGCCATGGTAGATAATTGAACCTCTGTCATTGTAACGGGTAATGTACGGAGAGACTGGGCCTACTGGAGGCCGGCTGCGTCTTCGGCAGCAACCTGCGATTTAGCCGTGTCTTCTCCGCGAGTAATCTGATTGCTGATCAGGCGAGACAATGCATCGGCCTTACCGAAGTCGGCGGTGCGACGATATTGAATATCCAAGTCGTATCTTGGCAATATAAGCGCCCAACTTTGAAAATGGCTGGCAGAATGTGTGGGAACACCTCTCTTTGAACCGGAAATAGATAGCGAAGTTTTATGATCGGCAAGTATGGCGAAACAGCTATCATACAACAACTTATGGAAATGCTGGACTGCGAACACTAAGGCCAAAGCTTCTTTCTGTATATGTCCTTCTGTATATATCCGTTCTGCTGGCGTTAGTGATTTCGACGGCCTTCTCTGATCCATCTGGGAAGATGTGTAGAATGACGGCACCGACACCAAGAGCAGAGGCATCAGCTGCCACAAAGATCGGTAGCTTTGGGTCGTAGTGTGTCAGTAGCAAATCAGAACTGAGCATCTTCTTTAGCTTGCAGAATGCCTCCTTCTAACCAACGCCAGGGGACATCCTCGCCAAGCGATTGATTTAGTGGGGGTCGAATGTCGTGTGGCGAAGGCAAGAATGCCGAATAATAGCTGATGAACCCCAAAAGGGAACGTAACAATGGGATAAACTTAGGAGGTGGCATCTGCTGTATAGCTCGAACGTTCTCCGGGTCAGGATGACGGCCAGAGGCGTTGAAGATGAACCCAAGATATTCCACAGATGTCAAGAAGAATTGACACTTCTCGGGACGGAGGTGGGGGTTATTGTTATGAATGCGCGGTAAGACGGTCGTGATTCGATCACGAAGCTCGTTGGGTGAAACAGCAACGATCAGCACGTCGTCCAGGTATGCGACCACACCGGGGATGCCAGAGAGGATGGTGTCCGTCAACTGCTGGAAAATCGCCGGGGGCCAGCTGCCGTTACATAACACGACCCCGCGAATGTGGTTCCTCGAAAAGATATACAGCACTGGAGCTCACCGGAAAGTTTTAACTCTCCACCGCAGGCACTGACAGCGGTTCGAGCTGCTTGTCTGATCGGAGGTTGCCCGAACGTTCGCCAAAGCTTCTCCAAAAAGATGGTAATGTCCGACGCAGTGTCCAACTGCAGACGGACTGGATGGCCATTGGAAGGTGACTGTGAGATACTTCCGGCGTTTTGATCTGGAAAGTAGCCAACAAACTGACAAAGAAGCTAACACGGTTCGATTTCGGTTTGGGATGGACGCGTGATGACGGCTTTGAAACAGCAGAGACCGTATGCATCCGTGACTGTTAATACTCACCTTTGTGTCCCACGGACTTACATTGGCGGCACCGATGCTGCTTGTTGAGACAGAACCTGACGAAGTACCAGGCTTCACGGTGCCAATATTGTGAAGTTGGTGCTTTCTTTCAGCCTTTGTTTTGCTTCGGACCAGAACACTACGAGGCCCATTTGGTTGGGCCAGATTTGACAGGGCCAGGCTGTTGCGTAGCCTGATGTATTGCATGGACTTCGGAACCGCCATGACCTTCAAGTTGGACCATCGCTGTGTCATGCTTCAGGTTAAGCAATTGTTGAAATTCCGAGGTGATGGCCTACAGCGCCATTGATGGGTCCTGCTCGATACGACTGAGGAGTCGAGTACCGATTTCTGCATCCTTCGGGATTGTAGACCGCATATAGCAATCAGCGACTGGAACCGATCTTCCGTTAATGATCCGAGTTTGAACCGTTCGCATCCCGGTTTACGATGCTAGAATACGTGCGAAAGTCGTCTGCGTCACTCTTCACCAGCTTCATGCATCGATAACGGATTGTGAAAAGCGATGTTTTCACACCAAATATTTGCGAAAGCGCGTGGACCATTTCATCAAAAATGAAATCGGGTTTTGGCAGAATATAGTTAGCGTACTTATGATGCTGTGCGTGTCCAAGTTTGCGGAGCAGGAAGTGAACCTTCCAACTATCATCTTGAATTTGAAAATCGACCCTGAACAGGTCTTCATAGCAACGAATCCAAACATCAAACGTTATTCCAGCCGAGGGTTCATAGCGAAACTCGTTGATACTACCAGAGATTCCATCAACCGACTGTGGGACGCTCGACGCAGCCTGTGAAGCCGAAGATGTAGTTGATAGTTGCCCCGTAAGTACTATGATGAGTTGCGGTTGTTGTTCAAACATTGCTGTAACGGTCTAACGGTATCTTTGAGTGACGCGTAATACCAGAACCTCCGGGTAGGCAAAACAAAGTCGGAGCTGGGTTTCTATACGGTACTATTAGGGTAAGAGAAATTCACAATTTGTACAAACTTCGACAGTAGATACGCGTCCAAAACAAACAGTCCGCTTGGACTTCAAAAAAGCAAAACAAGGGAGCAAACAGGCTCCAACGTGCGACGGTCACACGTGCAAAGTCAGATACAAATGGCCGGATGTCCTCAAGGCCAAATGGGTGAAGTGGTAAGGACAAACAAACGTCAGTTCATATATACACACTAAACACAAAAGAGGGGCGGGGATTACAAATGGAGACATAGTAAACGTGGGGAATTTCATTGTCAACATAACGGATGATACAATTGCTTTGAGTTGTTCTGCCTCCATCTCGCATCGCCACATATGTTACGGTTCGACCACGCAGCGAGCAAACAATAAGATATGCGGACTGTGACAATATTCCACCCCCAACTATGTTGCTTAATCCAGACTCTTAGCATGGCAAATTGTAAGACAAAAACCTCGGACACCACTTTAATGATTCAAACAACATGCGATCAACAGGCGAATCGACGGAGAATGACTATATATATCTATAGTTTGACCTTGAAAAATCCCGGAAGTTCGTTAGAACACTCAAAGATACAGATATCCCCAACCATCTCGGAGCCACGAGCGCCTGTTACTAATGGCCGACATATTGGTGTCCAATTGACGCGTTCCATTGTCCTTGCTACGTGATATTTTTGGACCATTCACTTGCCTTAGTGATCTGTAGGTGAATCGGCTCTCAGGAACCTGTGGGACTGTATCTACTGTACCTTCCACTGAGAAAATCAACATAAGAGACGCGAAGTTAAGACAGATTTTGGGCAGCAGTAACGATCCTCTGGGAGCATGACGGGGGGACGGGATGACCGGAATCAGACCGCGTACGTGGAAAAACAAGCGGTTCCATCTGTAATTATCGCAAGCATTCTGAGATGTCTAAACCCCAAGGAAACTGAAAGCATGAGCGACACCAGCTGCCATTTCTTGCTTCCAGCCAAGCACAGGGGTCAAGAAAACCCCATTATAGAGTAAATATCGCACCAAAACTCCCTTTCACGCCCTTCTGCCAAGCCATACGTTGTGTACTTGGTGGTTTACGCATGCGCAGTACTTGTCAAAGCCACCGCAGTTCGTACGGCTGGGGGTTTTACGCGATTGAAGTACCTGCTCCACAACCAAATACCCGTTTTCTGATTACCACACCGAAAATCCGTTGGCACCATCCGACATCAGCCACGCTTCTGACGCATCGGTGGCCAAACACATGAACACACCCAACAGCATCTGTTCACAGGGGCCATTTTTTGCAACCACACAAAATTATGGCTCTTACTATAGTCTGATACACGTGACCCTTGAGACACATTTTGACACAAGACACGCAAACTGGCGAACGTGAATCAGGCCTTCCAGATTCGTGAACTGACTTCATCCGCCACACTTCCGTCAGAGCTAACACAACTGCTGATGTATGCTCACCACAAATTCCAATGATTCACCTTAAACTGTAAGGGTATGTTCAGAGACAACAAGTTCCGAAAAGGACTTTGTACTTTAAAGGTGGAAGACGCATGCCGGAAGATGGTATGATGACGGTCAGTTTATTCAACGGTGTATGCTTTGCCTTTGTCTTCGAAGATTAATACGATGCCATCTGCGTACACCGGATCGACAACATTAACATCAGCAACGACTTGGACACCAGGACTTTGAAGGCCTACCAGCGTTCATCCCATCATTTCATTGTCAACGAAGGTGAACAGGGACAGTGGACGTCCTTGTTGGCCACCACTTTTTGGAGAGCTCACCATGCACTCATATGTGCCAAGACGTATGTGAATGTGTGGACCAGAATATGTTCATAAATTTCTGCGGCATATCCTGTTGAACAAGTGCAGTTAACAGCACTGACCGACAAACAGAACCGAACGCACCCTCGAAGTGAAAGAAAGGGAGGGATCCACTCGACAGTTGGCGGCTATCCATCTCGCATGCTTTTATGACTTGTGTTACCCTGTTGACAACAAACTTCGCATTCAAATGCTTGCGTTTCATTGTTCGCTCTTTCCTGAGGCTTTATTTAAGCTTCTGGGAGCTGCACAAACACCCCAAGGCTGTTTGCCTTCCGCATTAAAAGTATCCGTCTCTAAACCACCATTAACGTTACGTTGATTGCTCATTCACATTCACCGCTCATACCTATCGGCTAACGATGTCAGTTGAGTCCGATCCTCGTAAACAGGTGGCTCTTTACACTGCTGCCTGCTTAACATCAGTTCTGGTCACTCACATCACATAGACTGATGTTTTTCCTGAGCGACTCATTTTCCAGACCCAGAATCGTGCAGTTTGACAAATTCCCAAAGGAACTATTCCTATAAAATACTTCGAAGTCGTTTCTACTCGTTATTCTTGGATTCTGAAGTATAGCTGCGAATCTCGACCTGCTTGGATGGCGTGCGGACGCATCTCCATTTGTGATCATTTTGGCGACAGGTGTCTGACTTTAAGACTTACTCCATGTGTATCGCTTTTCTGCAAACTAGTTTGTAGTTGCCCATTATGATAAATTTTAATGAGAATATCTTGGAATGTCCACTTGTTTTTCTCTCCTGCCTCAGTTGTGAACTAGATAATGTTGAAGACACTGTTATGCAACGTGGTGGCCTTCCCTGATAATAACGAATCCTGAGGCTGGAAATCCCATGAGCGTTTCTTTAAGTTGCTGAGCACAAAATATGTCTGCCACGAGCTCCGTCTGGCATTCCACGGAAGAGCTCAGCGATGATTAGGAGTCTGGAAGCCATGAAGCTAAGTGCAACGGTCGCGCAAGATACCATTTAGCAGCCATTTTGGCCATGAAAATTTATTAATTTTAGCACATCGGTTTAAAGGAAGCGAAAGGCAGATATTAGCTCAAACAAGGACCAGTAGAAGAATTCAGTGTAATGGAGGCGTGATGCTCTAAGGAGAGATATACAAGCCAACGACGAAAGCGTACAAGTCAAGCGTGGATCTAACGGGGACACAGATGAGACCAAAACCAGTGATCGAACCAAACTGATGCCAACAGGAAATGAAAGAGAAACTAACCAAGACAAGATTCGCCGAAACGGACCAAATATATTAAGCAGACCCATAGGACTACATGACTTACGGAGCGGAACAACTAATCAGGAAGAACGACTTCCGTAACACAATGAACAAGGAGCCAAGCAAGCAGGGCGGAAACTACTAAGAGCGACAGTGTCGATCAAACCACAAATATAAAAAACCCAAACAGATGGCCTAGAATGGACCCAGAAGAAGTCGCAGAACCGAAACTACCTTTTGCCAATCACACTGGAGATATAAACCAACCTTGGAACTACATAAATCCGCGCATCTCAGCCCAACAGCTCATCAACGATGTCTTCGAATAGCGCGAGGCGTCCACAAGCCAGTTTTAACGATCGGCGAACAAGACAACAGCAAGACCGGTATACTTCCTTATCGCCTTACCTTAGTTGTGATGCACCGCACGACATAATACCAGTTTGAGAATTTATGCTTAACAAGCTAAAACTATACACTCAATTTTTCATATAAGTTAGGTTAGCATAGTAAAATAATCGATCGCATTTCTGAAGGCATTCAACAGGGAATCTTCTATCCGAAAAATAAAACACTTTGGTACCAACAGTCCCATAAGAATCGAGTTAGCATTTTTGAACCACAATCATGAAGTGGCAAAAATGAAAGACGTTACTCTAAAACCAAAGGCGGCACAGGAACGACAGAAAGCTCAGTAGAAATAGTATGTACAAAATGCGGCGAAGAACTGACAGGTGTGGTATTTAAATCAAGTCCAGATGCAGAAAGACTGTCTAGCGGTTGTTCCTTCCAGACGGAAAACACGGTCCAGCCGAACGGGATCATTCACAGTCAGTAGCGCAGCGTCCCAGGAAGACAATATATCCGCAAGGTGGAATTGTGACCGGGAATGCTGTTGTCTGTGCGTTCGCAAAATAGAGTGAAGGGGAAAAGTATATAACAATGTATTGTCCACAATAACCAGGATGTTGTTTGAAAAAAAACTGGGACGTTTTTTGTTTTTGTTTCCTCTGACAGTAACGGCGCGAAGCATTTCGAATTTCTTCCAATTCTGTTATTATTCCCCCATATAAATAAAGTTTGGACTCAGGGAGTTCTTGAAAGTTGGTTGACACGACAGGAAGGCGTCCCAGAAACGCCAGCCTAGACCATGATTAGGTTGAATCCATCGGCCTTTGTGACAAGCTAAGACATAATTGGCCTCAATAGCACTAAGGTCCCCCACTTCACAGAGAACACAACTCAGTAACAGGATAAAAGCATGCTCTTCACCAAAAGTGTGCAATCGGGGATGGAGTTAGGCCTAGCGGTAAACATCAAGGTCTCGAATGCGGGTGTTACTTTGTTTCAAACAACCAAATGATGACACATTGGACATAACGGCTACCACCATCAGTAAAGTTTAACACAACACTACCACGATAACAAAAACCGATTATTCCGTGGAAATGCATATTTAAAGCTTCTTCAAAATTCCAACATACCGGGATGATCAAAGCTCCATAGGTTGGAATCCACTTGAAGAGACCAAAAGTGGGAAGGAATCACCTTCGGCCTCCATCACCTCCGTTGATGAGGCAGTGGGGATGTTGTTCGAAGAGACAACTGTGCTTTCATCCTCATCCTCTTCTTTGGTTGCACTCCGGAAAGATGGTGGAACAATGGCAGGATCGTACGGTACAAGATCAAGCACAGGCTTGGGCTGCAAACTGAAGATGAGGTTATAAAAAATCTAGTAGGATAACATAATAGATGAACCAACACAGAAGTTCAAGGTTAGCATACTGGTGGATCAACCCTGTAGCGATACATGAAAGACAGGATAAAAATAAATCGTTCAGCTGCAACACCATTTCAATGCTCAACAGCTATGCCACCCGAAGGAAGCACGAGGGCTAAGATACTGTCAGATTGGCCAAACCCAGACAGGGGAAGTCGAGATACAGAGGTCGAACAGATACAGGGTTCGAACTACGGACCTTCCGGTCAGTAAATCCGCGCTCTAACCACAGTTGCCAGCATGATGAATTTGAGAGGGTTGTGCTAACAGCACGATCAGTCTCCTACTCCAGATAGACAAAAATAAGCGAACAAAAGGACAGTATTAGAGAAGATGCTTACGATCAATAGCGGGATGGGGTTATATGAGAAGTCGAGCGACTGCTCCAGACGGTTGCTGTCTGATGATTCGATGCACCCATTGCGTAATACTCTAACAGCTCCCAAAACTGTTTGGCTTTGAGGTCCTAATGAAAAACCAGGTCATCCAACAGTCTAAGTGGAAGTACTTTCTGGCAACCGTTTACTTAGCACCAATTTAACCAGAAAAACGAGTACATGGTGACTTAAACCGAACCATTAAATCAACGGACATGCATAAACAATATCACATCGGGCGATCAATGACCCAAAACATGGGAAATGATATGACCGAGGAATAACTTATTGATTGGGTTTACTTATCCAAATAATTCGAGTCAACATCTAACAATCAAAAGGTTCTCACTCTGCTGGGGCCATTGCTCCAACACTTGCTGTTCTCCGGTCACGTCTTCACGTGCTCTTACGTAAACTGAGGGATGCAAAGAGCCTGCTTACAAGAGATGGTCAAGCTGATTCCTCATCATCATCATCACCAAAGACAACATCAGCATTGGGACTGATGCTTCGCCACTGTATAGCCACGAAGTTTATTCAAGTATAAAATTCACCACATGAAAAAAGAGAGGAGTGTATGAGATGCAACCTAGTGTAAACCTATCGCAAACCTCCTGAGGAGACTAAGCCACAACCCCTTAGTCAGACAGTCTGAAAAGAAATTGACAAAGTGCATACAACTGACATTGGTTAGCCGCCATTTCAAGTAATAAAACGATGACCCCATCCAGGATGGCGGGCCGCACCAACAAAAGACACTTTCACGCCATTTTCATAAAGGAAACTATTCACAAGGTTGCTGAAAACTCTTTGACAGACCACGACCGGTTTCGCCCTTCTTGGGACTCATCAGGTAGGCACAGTCCCCGAGTTTCCGTCAACCTTATGATCTACTTGAACCCAAATTGGACTGTTTTCGAGAAATACACTCTCGTTTATGATATTCTGTAGAATATCATAAACGAGAGATTCAGTTGAGTTCTTCGTGAAAACCAAATCGATTTGCAAATTAGTGTATTTCTCGAACGCTTTTACACCCTTCTGTCGATTCACACGTTGACCCCTTCGAAATCTGGGTCATTCTGAAGGAGGCATGGAGAACGTCCGTCGACAGAGACGACGCTTCCGCATGCGCAGCACATCGTCGATCCAACTCGGCCGATCCGGCTGGATGTTTACCGCAACTAAAGTAGCTTTTGTACAATCAAATACCCGTTTTCTAAGCAGTTCATCATGGATTTCTCGAAGCATTAGACACCAGAAATGCTTCTGAGACATCTCCGTTCAAAAACCTGAAGATGCTTCAGATCGTCTGTCCACAGATACAATGTATCATACGATAAATTCCAAATTTAAATGGCTCATTGTGTTGAGTGAATTGTACAAGGACTTGGGACTATATGGGTTGTTCATCTATGTAGACATTCAAAAGTTGTATTTGAAGAAGTTCGGTTGCTAGGCTTTGCAGATCTTAGTTGATCCTACGTATCAGGACGCGTCAGATAACCAAACCGTAGACTGACTATCAAAGCAAGGCAACATGCTCTTGGTGTCGTGGCTTTTTTTTATGTCAGAGACCTCGCGACAATAGCAACAATGAAGATCGCCTTTTTGTCTCGGGCTAACAGATGTAACAACTCATAACTGAGCCCTTTCAGTTGGAAATTAAAATTACACTCCATTCTAGAGTACTGGTTCATCCTTGATACAATGCACGTAAAATTGCACGCCTAAGCAACGGACCCTTTCCGTCTCATTCTACCATTACCATGAGAATTTGATCCTTTCATATCTTGATCTGTAAATTTCAACCGACGAACTCGTATCTGTTCAGCTGATCGGTACCCTGAAGTTAGTATCACATAGTGTACAAATTAATTCTGCCCTGGCCTTTGCTCCGAGAACAAAACGTCTTTGAAACTTTTCACTAGCCCGTCTTCAAAAGAATTTCGTCCAGTAAATGAATCCAATTTATGCTGAAGAGCCGAGAAACATTGTACAGCTCTGCCTTCCTTATTAAGTGACTCCCGAGAGTTTTCAACCCGCGATATCCCGTTTATAGTTTGAACACAACCGTTCAGTCACAATTAGCTTGCACTTGGGAAGAATATAACGCCATTCATCCTCCACTTGGTCAGGAACTGCCTGACACCGAGGCTGATGTATTCGTTTGTGTCCAGCCAAGTCCACATCACACAATCTATTCGTGTGTGTTTATCGAAGGACACTCCGATCAGCTACATCCACGCCGATAAACAACATGGGGAAATTGGTATCTCAAGTCTGAGTTTAACCATCCCGATGTAGCGAAGAGCGCGTATGGAAGAGCTTCTGTCTATCCAGTGTTGAGTACAACGCAATGTGGTCAACGATTCCGCATTTGGCAAGATTGTTTGGGATCCCATCTTTTTGACCCAAGTCGACGGTGCGTATGTAAACACCAAGGAAGGGTTGGTGGCGGATTGGGGCGATAGTCTGCACAACAGAGTTGACGGCCGCGGTTTATGAGAGTTATTTGCTTCGCCTCTTCAGAGTCGATGGCTTGTATTTCCAGAGCGAGCGTTTCCTCAGATATTTATCCGCGGTACCCAGCTCCGACGGAGCCTGCTTAGGATGAGAGTTAGAAGCGCTCGGCGTGGCCATGATGGCCAGACGATCTTCTGTTGTGAAAACTGTGGCCAACCGGAGAGTTTGGTGCATATTTTGCAGTCCTGTTGGGTCGCGCACGATGCAAATGTACTCGTCATAATCGGGTTGCAAGGGAACTTCGAAACGTCTCCGTCGCCTGATGTACATCGTCTTCGAGGAGTTGGAGCACCTACATCCACGTCATCACCAAACGTCATTCATCAAACCTGACCTAATCGCTGTTCGGGAGCGACGAGCAACTGTGATAAACGTAAGCATAGTCTGAGATGGGCGCGGAATGACTGTATGGAATAGGAAGAAACAGAAGTATGGTGCTGATGAATATTCCCTCGCCATAATCTCAGTCCTATGTGCAATCGATTGTGGTGTCAACTTTTTAGTCCACTAACCGATGATCATTTCTTATCGAGGAATCCGCTTTCCTCAATCCGCTGTTATTCGAGTCAGTTACTTGTGTTTGCTTGCCACTGTAAGCTGTCTGCGTACTTTTATGCGAGGTGCATGGCATTGAGTATACATTCTAGCCATCGATTCTCAAACCAGATCCAGTATGACGAACACTTTGTGCCTGATGTGCAAGTCTTGGCTAGAATTCACATTACGTGGTCAGGTAATGACTAGCTCATCGAGTGATGACTAATCAGATGAAAGTTTCACTTATCGACTTAACTTCGACTCCACAGACATCAGAGGCTGGTAGTGAGTCTCCCATAATCGTATCGATAACAAAGTTGAAGAGGAAAGGCAAAAGAGGACAGCCTTACCTGGCACCACTTGATACGGCGAACTCAGGCAAGAGCTTCCCATAGATCTTCACAAGTCGTATTTTATTTCTTCTCCCGACGGGCGACAAAGGTTTGTATTCCATTCGCCCGTATGCCTGTCTCCAAAGGTTGTGTTGCGGGAGGCCAACTAGAGCGGTCCTTCCTGTCACTACTTATGCGAGTGACAATGAACTATTGAGCCGCCTTCCTAATTTATTGTTACACTGAGAGTTGCTGTTCCCTGGTGAGTCGATCGCAGTAACTGGTAAAAAGTAGAGCTGTTTCACGTAGCAAAGCCTCCGTCTCCTAAGCTTCCGATGTCCACCAGAACTCTCGGTATTCCATTAGGCTCTTCACTATTTGGCGTTTGAAGGATTTGCGTACGTCCTCGTACTCGTTACTTGCTGGTATGGATTTCCCTGCATCAATCAGGACTAGCGGTCTCAACGACATCCTCTGGTCAGTTGACGATCAGAAAAGTCTGACAGACAGAGAAGAACGCCGCTAGCATAGCTCCTTCCAAATTTTTGTCATGCTTCATCCACGTGCTCGCTACCAGCACTGTTCGTGTAGAGAGCAGTCGAGCTAGCTCAGATCGATACTGCTGAGTTATGGTAGCTCTCAAGAGATGGTAGACTGGCATGATTTTGGCTAACTGCCGATTAACTGAAGAGAAGTAAACTGTCAGGAGTGGTCGTAATATGGGATGGTCGCAATCACGTTGTGTCCCAGAATGAACGATAATCTTGAACGGTGGCTTTCCACGGGTGGCCGATGGTCATGTAATCCCGTTTGATCCACGACGTAAAATTTTACGTCGAAAAATCGTACTCGTCAAACAGATGATGGTCAGCACACAACTCGAGGAGTGGTTCTAAGTCGTCTGTGGGACGAGTATCGACTGCGAATGGCTCACCTAAATGTGATTCCAAAAAGATCACATGACCGAGTTGGGGATTCACATAATCCGCAATGTTCACAGACTCAGTGCTTATTGCTTGGCGAATGAGCCCGGATAATTCTCGATAGAAAGTATCCCTCTCAGCGTCAGAACTGTAGTCCGTTGGGGCGTATATCAATATTACAAACAGGAACCGTTTTTTATGTAGAATAGCACTGAGCTTGATTGAGCTGGATAACCGAACGACGCAGACAACTGTTCACTGGGATCCAATCCCGTGAAGCACCTTCAGCTCTGGGGTTGAGTGCACCTCCACGTCACATATTCCACGAGTCACCGGTTCTGGAACATCGGACACAAAGAATATAATATGGCCGCACATCGCCTACCGTCCAGCGGAACAATCATGTGGTGAAACAGTGCCGTACAAGTATGCCCACACGTCCAAATCACCTCCGATTTCATCATGTGCCGGAGAAAGGTCAAAAAGGTAAACACACATTTCACGCCCATCCGATGGCCAAGGCAACATGTGCACTCCGTACACAAGCGCACAGACGGCTATCTATGGCTAATCGAGACAAGGAAAACAACCACTGGAGAGCCGGAGTGGGCCTGCAGGAGAGACGCTGGTTAGTTGAGAGCAGATCGACCATCAAATACGGTCACAAGTGAATGATATAAATAGAACGCTATATTTCCTGGCCGCCTCCTTGTCCTCTGACTGTAACCCAGTAGCAGAAGGGGAAGAGATAAAACAGAGTGAAACGTGAAAGAGCTGAGTTCGTCGTCGGCGTTTGAGATACATGACCACGTTCGGATATTGTACGCGTGTTCCAGATATACAGTCAACATCGATTTTGAGGGAGCATACAGTCTGCGCAAACATCACTTAGTTGCCAATTTGAAGTGGAGAGCGGATGTTGGAAGCTCCTATGTAGAAGGTATCTCGTGGACTTAGCAATGTGCTATCTTTGTTATTTTGTTTATTGTTAACAGGCAGTAGAGTGCCCGTCGGTCAGACAATCAAATGACCCAGCGACGTCTGACTGTTACGTAGGAGAGGGGAGGAAAGGGACGTAGGATGACAAAGAATTGTGGTTGTAAACGATACCCCTCGGTTGCCCAGGCCCAGGAAGGGGATTTGGTTGACGTGCCCCACCTTGAGCCTTTGACTCAATAGTCTAAACCGCGAGGCAGAGAGCAGTTGGGTTTTCATTGGGGACCTTTCCCGGAGCCGATGACTCAATAGTCTGTCCTGTCCGGCTGCAAGGAGTTGGCCCAAACCGAGGGTGAAAGGAGTAAGGCATCACCGTTTCACTCTGGATGCGGCTGCGCACATCATGTGCCTTTCGAGCAGCACCGAACCCAAGGGGATTTGGCGTGCCCCACCTTGAGCCTTTGACTCAATAGTCTAAACCGCGAGGCAGAGAGCAGTTGGGTTTTCATTGGGGACCTTTCCCGGAGCCGATGACTCAATAGTCTGTCCTGTCCGGCTGCAAGGAGTTGGCCCAAACCGAGGGTGAAAGGAGTAAGGCATCACCGTTTCACTCTGGATGCGGCTGCGCACATCATGTGCCTTTCGAGCAGCACCGAACCCCTTGGTTTCGACCGTATTGAATAATACGCCGGGTCACGGTCAACCATTGGGCGATCGGAGTGTGGTTTTTAGGGCCGATGTTTTCCAACCCGTCCTTCTTCAGGAAAAGTCAGCATCACCGCCTCTGTGAACACAGACATGTTGGCTACCTTGGGGAAACACCTTACTGGCTACGCACTCCTTCCGCAGAGTATGGTAAGAACTTAATCTCTGACAGCCTTGTAGCACGAGGTCACCATGCTCTCAGTCTGACTGTTCCACTTTGACTTGGCATGGCTGCACCAAGTGGAACGAAGTTGCAGGTTCATTGCAGCACTCATGCCCGACCAATAGGTCAAGGTGGTAGCTTCAAGTCGATAGACAGGAAACTTTTTTTGAAATATAAACGAAATGGAGACAGGTTTGGCAGAACACTCGGACGGCACTGGGACAAAATTGTCTGTCCTCATCTAAACACTGTACGATCTTGACGGCCATAGCATGACTCACATTTTGCTGCAGTCGAAAACTCCGTTGAGACTAACACTAGCAAGTTCAATTGAACAAAGAGATAACAATGAATTGTTCCACAGCAATCATAAAGTTACGAATTCGTGCTTAAAATTTTACAGCATGAAAAGACTAACTTACATTTTCCGCAACAGTTTCTCCTTAGGATACTCTGGCGGAAATTCTTTCAAGTGGTCTTTCAAACACTGGGATAATTCAAAAACCGGGCTGTAACAAACGCAAAAAACAGAGATGAATAAGAATCACAGGAAGTTCAATTCAAGCATCCAATCGTTCAGTACTGCACATGCGCAGATATAGGGAAGAAGTACGAGCGCTGAATTGACCGCCGCATTCAGCAAGTCCCGAAAGCGGCAACGGATCTTTTGGTATAGTTTTGTTTCCCTAGCTGGGTACAAGAGTGATGACTTCAAAGGATTTTAGCCTACAACCGTCACTACGTTTGAACTTACCAACATTCCACTGACTTGATCTTTTCTGAATCGGCTAGAATGAAATCAAGTTGCGGAGATATCATTAGGTGATTTTCATGGATTGGGTTCAGGCTCTCACATCGTTGCCCTTGTCTTACCACAAGATGGTCGCTAGTTCGCGTCCTTAAGAGGACAAAAAATAGGTCCTAAGTATCAGTTTAAACATAGCCATTCCTAGTGGCGAAGTGCATTGGGACACAGCAAAGAACATCAAGCCATAGTGGGACCAACAGTGACGACAGCCGAAGAATAGCGTACGTTCGATTTGGGGATTAGATGTTTTGTCAAAGAACTCGCCAGCTCTGTCAATAACACGGAGTAAACAAGGATGAAAATAACGCCAACTGACTACTAGAGAAACTGGCGCTTTCCAAAAAGCCAAGAATTGACAAGAAACAGTATCAGTTGACGAACCAGGTCACATAAAGCAAGCCTCGAACAAAAAGAGATGTTGAACGTTAGTTCGGTCCCACAATTTCTATACCATCGCCCTAGAAAACAGCGGTTGTACCTCAACTCCAATTATCATCAGAGTCGGCTCATGCATCAAAGCCATCGCCTTTGATGCGTAGCTACCCGATTTCCGAACAAACTGAACATGCCCTCCCCTTCCAGGCTTGGCTGTATGTCCCACAGCCCCACTTTCCGGTGATTGAAACTAGCAGCTGGAACCAATGTGATACACGGTTAATAGCTGATAAATTGAATTGAACTGATCTACAGAGTTGACGTCGTGCGGCTGTGGTGAACAACTGCGGATTCTTCCGCCAGACAGACACTATATGGGACGAGGATCCTTCGAGATAAAATACATGTATCCAGCGCTTTCCCAAATCAGTGCTGAATTTTGTGCCTGTATGAGCTCAAACCGATCTGCGATGAACCAGAACACTGAGTACTAACAAGCCACAATCATACTCGGCTGGAAACAGGCAATCAGAATGTTCCAACACGCAAATTCTAACCCATTAACCGGGAGTTATGGTACTACTTTGCTGAAATGTAGTAATATCCGGTTCTCCTGAGCTTACGAGAGATTTTTATAGTGTAAATCATTCCTTCAAATAGACCTCTCGTCTTTCCGAAACCAAGCTCACTAGTTTTCAGACTTTCTGCCACAGCCATCCTGTGTGGAATAGAAGCCCGTAAAATGAAATGCACCTGAATGGTTATCAACCCAATATAAGTAATGCCAGTAGCACCTGGGTGTGAACGCTGGGCTAACAACTTGGCGATGGGTCAACAAAGACGAACTCCGGAAAGCCAATACTTGAGAAGTCAATATGGCCTAGATTGAGATGCGATCAGACCGATCAACAAGATCGATTTTAGAGAGACAAGTGAGAACACTAGATTCAGACGACTGAAATACACACTGTCTGCTAGAAGAGATGCTGCGGTTGCTAAACAGGGACAGCGGTTAGTTACAGCGTCAGGTCACTCCAATATGCTTCCAGCAAAAGTCATGGACCAAAAGTCAAAATAATTGACCACATTATCACACAACAATGGCGAATAGCTACGTGCTTAGCACAACTATTTGTATGCTCTACTAACTTCCGGAAAAACATGAATCATCTGATCATCACCATCTGAGCACATGGCGCCTTCCAATAGCCTCTAGTTACGAACCCAAACTGATCATATCGCTGTTGGCTAACGAAGGGGTGCATCAATGACTGACAATAGCTCTTTTTGGGGCATTTGTGTGGATTCTGACCATGCACTGGTCCGGAGTCTTCTTCCTTTTCGGAGCCACGAAAATAGCGGACAATTGGTTCATCAACTGAAAGTTAACACATCCTGGAGTTAGATGGGCTTATCAGAAACGTATTCCAGGCCCTCCGATAACTGCTCCGATAACTTGTCAATTAACACTGGAACAGGATCACCAATAAACAATGTAGTTTAGACTACACCACCAACTTCACTCTGGGTACCGGATAGCAGAAAGAAAACTTGCACTACCGGAATTCCTGAGAGATATTCTCACCGATCCCACACTTAACTCTATCCGAATCTGTTCAGTCTTGTCTAGTCGGAACCAATGGTAGGTGAAGTGGTTGCACTGGAGGTTGGTCTGTTTCAGCCACTATGATGTTCGTTAGGTCAATATTGACGAGCCATTCTTTACGGATGCTGAAGTACGGTCACTAGACAATGCTCGGCACGAACCCTCAGTGGATTTCAAACATAGAGTGGTCTTAAACGTATTGTGCCATCCCTGGGATCGGACGGAAACATGAGCACAGCATGATAGTCAAACTTCCGTGGTCCACGAACTAGCAAGTGAATCCCGTGACACATACATCTTATTGATCTTCGTCTACCTCTAGTTGTTTCCAACAGTAAAATCGTACCTATGAGGATGTAAAAAGCTCCAGCAACCTGACTTTCCGCTTAGCCCAGCAAAAGAAAAGATAAATCGTCCAGCTGTAACGTTGTTTCGGTGGCTAGCTGCCATGCCACCTGAAGGAAGCCAGGTTGCCCAAACCTAGCCCAGCAACAGAGCTGGCATTCGTAATGTACTACTCATAAGGTTGCTGGAAATTTGCCGACAGTCCACGACCGGTTTCGCCCTTCTTGGGGCTCATCAGGTAGGTGCAGTCCCGGAGTTTCCGTCAACCTTATGTTCTACTTGAAAACAAATTGCACGAAATTAGCGAAGTACACGCATTTGCTGGCAATGTTTCAGAGATCTTACGGTCGAAAAGAGAAACCAATTCTTGTTAGCTACACTACATTTTCGTGAGCACACCGAATTCGTTTGAGTAACAAAGCATTGTTTCCGAATAAACACAGAGTCTTTCAGGCCAGTACAGTTGTGTTTTGAAGGTAGCTGAGTTAGGGTACTTTCGATATGGATACCAGGTTGTGGAATCTGAGGACTTTACTAATGATGGACTCACGTATCATCACCTCCATCTGCGGGTTGGTCTGTATCCTGATCTACAGGCAGCCCAAGATCATCAAAATCTGCGCCAGTCAGAGCTTGTGAAGACGTCCGATCCGGTGTAGTGGATACGAGGCACTCACCGTCCTGAGTTGAGAGTCGCATTTCCGCGAAGTGGTTCGACATAGCAGTCTCGCTCAGGTATACTTTGAGCGGCGGTACATCCTCTTCCGACCCGGGTGTAATGCTCCTATAAAAGACGGAGGCGGATCGCATGAAGAAAAATGGAGTAACTCTATGGCACCGGTGTTCAGCAGACTGATGTATGACCATCGGGTGAGAAAGCAGCACTTCTACGGAAGGGCAAAGGGTTGACGAGAAAGCTCACTTGCTTAAAAAACAGCAGTTCATATACCAGAGGTGAGTTGGTGGCAGTCCACGGATCGCGCTGGTTTGGTGTCACTTTTGACCGCTGTTGAGTACGGCCCTTTTCGCCAGAACATGTGCAGAATAGCGGCACCGCAGAAAATGAGTTGGTGGCCAAATATGGAAGTCACAAACAACAGATACCACCACGTTGGCAGTCATTTTCTCGTACAAGGCAGCATAGTTGTCAACTACATGAACAGACAACTATTCAATGACAGCGTACCGCGTGATAACAAGATACGATAAGCTCGTACTGTGGTTAACTTAGCAAATTCAATGCGCTCCACAACAATAAACAAGATAAATGTAGTCTGCGAAATGTTTCAGCGCCAAACGTAAACATTTCCAAGAAGGCACAGTTATGGAACCGGTTGAATAGCTACGATAGGAAGAAGGGAAGATACCAGGACGGGTGGCAATTCTTTTTTTAAGATCTGAATAGACGGGCCAAATGAAAAAAAAACTATTTTTACTCGAATTGTCGAAGGATACATAAATCCAGAGAGGTTGGCATTAAAAAAGACCTAGGGACATCGAAACTCGACACAAACATCGACAAATGCAGTCTTGCGAGTGGATATGGTTTCCGCTGGCTGGCTGGTTATCACTGAGTACATGACCAAATGTGGGCCATTGTGATAACAGGTCGCGGTTGGTTCCCGCTGCGCTGATGGTTCCCTACAAAACACTGCACTCACGGGTTATATGACTGTCTGAAGATTCCCGCACACGTGGAATAACTTACGACAACCATACACTACCCCATATACATATAGATCTGAATAGCGGGCCAAATGAAAAAAAAACTATTTTTACTCGAATTGTCGAAGGATACATAAATCCAGAGAGGTTGGCATTAAAAAAGACCTAGGGACATCGAAACTCGACACAAACATCGACAAATGCAGTCTTGCGAGTGGATATGGTTTCCGCTGGCTGGCTGGTTATCACTGAGTACATGACCAAATGTGGGCCATTGTGATAACAGGTCGCGGTTGGTTCCCGCTGCGCTGATGGTTCCCTACAAAACACTGCACTCACGGGTTATATGACTGTCTGAAGATTCCCGCACACGTGGAATAACTTACGACAACCATACACTACCCCATATACATATAGCTGTTCAGTAGATTGCAACAGTTGAACTAGTTATCTTTAAAGAATAGGAATAGTCCTGTAAAATGACTGAATGTACTTATTTTTGGGAAGTCGCATTAGACAAGAAGGTTCACGTCGCTACAGCAAACAATAACTGTCGGTATTTCGAAGACGTACGGGACATATGGGACACAGATGACAACTCACTCCGATTTCCGTTTTTCTCGCAACGTGGAACCAGGTGGCGCTGGTGCATAGGCACAGCTGCGCTCTACTATAGCAGGAGTAGTCCGGACTCCAGTGAAGTTGAACACAGCATCTTTAGCATCTGATGTGTAGAAGTTACTCTATGCAAAGTGAAAGAAATTATGGAAATATGGACTCACTGGTTGGAGCGAAGTAGGTATGTTGAACGGAGGTATAAACCGGGACATGCTCAAATTTTCAAGTATCTGAAAGAAAAATAAGGCATATCCATAGGTCACTTCCGAAAAATGCAACCAGGCTGAATAAAAAGAAGACGATAGTGAAATAACATTTAAATCAGAGGGAAATAACTAAGCGAGTGGTTCGCAGGAAAGGCATCAGACCACTATGTCACTAGTAATCATTCAGTCAATGATAGCCGGTTGCCCACAGCTACCACGCGGTAGGCTGAAGCGCTCCACAAAAAATGCTAATGATTCACCTTAAGCTGTAAGGGTATGTTCAAAGACAGCAAGTTCTGAAGCAGGACCTTGCAGTTTGAAAGTGAAAGACGCATGCCGAAAGATAGCATGATGGCGGTCAGTTCACTCAACAGCGCGTATGCTTCGCCTTTGTCTTCGAAGATTAAGACAATGTCATCTGCGTACTCCAGATCAACAACATTCGCACCAGCAACGAACTGAACACCAGGGCTTTGAAGACCTATCGAAGTTCGCCATATTATTTCACCAACGACAAAGTTGAAAAGGGACGGAGAGAGTGAGCATCCTTGTCGGATGTGACTTTTGCATGGGAACTTTTGGAAAGCTCAACATACACTCTCACACGTCCAAAGTGTTTGATGTAGGGACCGGGTTATGTTCATAATCTTCTGGAGCATCTCCTGTTGAGCAGGTGGGATTGAGAGCGCCGACCGGTAAACAGAATGAAACACACTCGGAGTAAGGGAGCACTAAGATTGTGGGTCGTCTGTGCATAGTGTTGCTTTGACACCTGACGGAAAGTGAGGATGTGGCCGACGCAGCCTCTACCCTGCCGAAATCCTACTTGATGCTCACGGGTCAAGACTTCGCACACCGCCGTAAAACGACGAGAAATCATCATCGTCAGCTGTAAGGATGGCGTGCTTATTGTATAGTGGTTGTAGCTGCCAGTTTCGTTCACCGATAATTTGGGGAAATGGTGTGGGTAGCTGTGTGTTGGAGTGGGAAGCTGGTAGATTAGTGCGTAAATATAGCAGTGTCAGTGGAATTTTAAGTGGGGGAATTGGGAACGAAAATATGCATTGAAGGCAATAGCTTGGATGCGCGGGCGCCATTGAGGACGCGACTGGGTTATATCTGACAATGTCTCTAACCACTGATGTGGCCTGTCTCGGGGTCCCCATGCAGGAAGACGGGCAATGACCGCGCAGCTGAGTTTGCTGCTAATGGCTTTTATACTTCCCTGTCAAGTCAGTTTGACCACCTCTGGCTCGCTTTCACCCTTCGTGGTTGTACGAAAAACCCCTTCGAGGAAATCGGTCGACTGGCATACGCAACATGTGACCAAACCAGCGCAACCTATGCAGTGTGATCAGTCCATCTATCGAGGGTGAGTTAGTTCTTCCGAATACCATTCGGTGTACTTCAGCATTGCTAATCCGGCGTTCCCACCAGACTCAGAAAATGCTCCGAAGACATCGATAGTCGAACACTGGAATCTTTTGACGTCCTGGGCGGGCAGCGGCCAGGTTTCTGAAACGTATGGTGATCCGGAGTGCACCGCAGCATTGTAAACTCGACCCTTGACAAATTAGCTGATGTCATGCCTACACCAAAGGCGACGTAGGTTCGCAAAAGCTGTTCTGGCCTTCCCAATCCGGATGGTAATATCATCTTTCACGAGACCACCGGGACTGATACAGCTGCCCACGCAAGCATGAGGCTAGGGTTCGAACCGACTCAGTCTTGCAGCAGCACCTTACACATTGCAGATGTGAAGCGCATGCCAAAGTGCAGGACGGAATTATTTAGATTATTTAATGTTGTTTGTATTACTACGGGGTCAGATCCAAGAAGACCTATGTAGTCTGCGTACTCGATGTCTGTAAGCGGAGGCCCAGGGAGCACTTCGACCCCACGGGTGCTACGAGCTGGTAGTGAGTCTTCCACGATCGTATCAATGAAGAAGTTCAATAAAAAAGGTGAGATGATAGCCCTGTCTGACAATACTGGATGTGATGAACTCAGGAGAGAGCTTCCCGTGGACCTTCACACGTCTGCGGCAGTTGGAGTACAGCGCCGTAAGGAGGGTCGAGAATTTATGGGGACACTTGCTCCACATATTGCCATAGTGCCTGACGGTCCATAGAATAGAAGGCAGCTTTCAGATCAAGAAAAACAACCATTGTTAGTTTCTGGAAGCAGTGTCGCTGTTCCATAATCTGTCGGAGAGTGAAGATATAATCGACACATTCTCATGCAGGACGAAACCCGGCTTGGTTTTCACAGATTTGTCTCTCCCTGTGTTCAATCAACCCCCGAAGGATAAGACCAGAGAGCACCTTAGATGCCAAAGCTACCAGTATGATGCCACGGTGGTTTTCGCATAGCGTCCGCGTACCCTTTTTGAAGATAGGGATAACCGTCGACATGCCCCGTTCTGCAGGCACCTACTCTTTATTCTATAGATCACCAATAGGCTTTGTCGGACGGTTCACCAGGGAATCTCCGCCCTCTTTAAAGCGGGCTGGATACAGACCGTCCGATCCTGGTGCCTTGTCACGTATAAGTACGGATACTTCGTAGTTTGTTTCTTTTTCCGACGGCCGACCAAGCCTTACATTCCGCATGCGTTATCTCCACAAGCTGTGTTGCAGGGAGCTAGCTGAACTGTTCTTCCTACTGTTTGGCCCACCTTTCCAGCCGACGGTTTTACGAGTGAATTAATGAACTAGCTTTTTCAATTATAGTTTCGCTCTGGATACAGTCCGATCCTGGTGCCTTGTCACGTATAAGTACGGATACTTCGTAGTTTGTTTCTTTTTCCGACGGCCGACCAAGCCTTACATTCCGCATGCGTTATCTCCACAAGCTGTGTTGCAGGGAGCTAGCTGAACTGTTCTTCCTACTGTTTGGCCCACCTTTCCAGCCGACGGTTTTACGAGTGAATTAATGAACTAGCTTTTTCAATTATAGTTTCGCTGACCGTTGCTCTCCTAGAGCCTGTCGATCGTATCAATTGATACGGGGCACGGCTATTTACTGTAGCAAAAGCCTTCTCCACCTCCAGAGACTTCGATGTCCACCAGTGCTCGCGGTCTTTCCTTAGACTGCGCCCTCATCCTCGCTGCTTGCTGGTATGACTTTCCTGGCATCAGTCATGGATAGCGATCTCGACGACATCCAGTGGTCTCGTGGTCGAATCGGAGAAGTCGGACAGACAGCACTGAACGCTACTAACATGGCTTCTTTCACGTTTTACCACACTTCATCCACATGCTCACTGCCACCACGGTATTGGTTTACTGTGGAGAGCTGTTGGGGCTAGCTCAGACAGATACTATTGAGCTATGGCAGTTCTTCGAAGATAGTGGACTGATAAGCTTCTTGCTGACTTGCGAGGGCCTGAAGGGAAACGAGCTGTCAGGCTTGCAGGCACCATGGTGTGATCGGAATCAAGTGGTGTGCGGCAGTCTTGAGTTATGGCTCTCCACCGTTGGCTGATGGCCATGTGGTCCAACTGCGTTCACGGTTGATTTGCAGTTGGTGACCGCCAGGTTACGCGATACGAACGTTTACGTTGAAAGTTCATACTTGCCAGAAACAGTTCATGATCAGCACATAAATGAAGGAGGCGACCGCCGTTGTCTGTGCGGCGAGCATCGACACCGAATCGACCGCCCAAAGATGATTCCAAGGAGCTCAGACGACCTGCTTGAGCATTCATATCGTCTGCAAGGATTACGATGTCCGTGATTTTGGTTGACGATTGGACCCAAATAGTTCTCGATAGAAAGTATCCTTCTCAGCATCAGGACTGCAGTCCGTTGGGGCATAAGCCGACACTACAAACATGCACCGCTTTTTATACCGAGAGGCGTTGAGCTTGATTGAGCTGAATAACCAGACTGCACAAAGACGACTGTTCACTGGGACTTAATCCAGAAAGGCGAGTTCAACTCTGGGGCTGAGTGCAACTACCACTCCATATATTCCACGAGTCATCGCTTCTGGGTCACCGGACACACGGAGGCAGAAATGTGGAAGAGCTGAATTCATCCTTGGCGTTCTGAGATGCCTAGGCATACATCCCGTATGCGCGTTTCGGAGACACACCACATAACAATTTTAAGAAAGTATAAGCATCCTGCAAGCGTTGCCTGTTTGCCAATTTGACGTACAGTGAGGACATTAAAGGCTCCTGCATAGAAAAGATTTCGTGGATTTAGAAGGGTGTTATTTTGTTTATTGTCAATAGGCAGTGAGGAGTATAAGGTCCTTCGGTCAGATGACTGGCAGTCAAATGACCCAGCGATGTTTTCTTGTGTGGTGAGAAGGGGTTGAGGAGGGAAATCGGTGGACAGCGAACTGCGCGGGCAAATGATACTTCCCGGTTGTCCGGGCCGAGGAAGGGGAGTTGGTTGAGGTACTCCACGTTGAGCCTTTGACTCAGTGGGAAGATGTGCGGTTTTGTTCGAAGATCATGCCCCTACTCTCTTACTCAAAAGTCTAGTCTAGGAGACAGTGGGAGAATGTAGGGTTTCGTTCAGGACCCTGACCCTATCCTCCGACTCGAAAGTCTGACCCACGAGGCAGTGGACAGTGGGGTTTTCTTTGGGGACCCTGCGGGGAACGGGCTGCATGGGGTTGGCCTAACCCTGGGGTGCAGGGAACAAGGCATTACTGTTTCATTCCTGATACTGCTGTGCATAGCAGGTGCATTCTAAGCAGCACCGGACTCTTTGTAAAAGTATCTCGACCGTATGGGATAATACGCCGGTGGTCACGGTCAACCTTTGGGTGACCTTTTCCAACCCGTCCTACCTCGGGAGAACGCAGCATCGCTGCTTCCATGAATATGGGCATGCTGGTTGCCTTCACGCTTCTGTTGCAGAGGACAGTAAGACTTTACCCCCAGACCGCATCGTAGCACGGTTACTTGTAGTACGCGTCTTGTTGCTCTTGATCTGATTGCTTTCCTTTGGCCTTCATGGTATGGTTCAACCTTTTGGAACGAAGTTCTAGTCAGCGTAGTCCGCGGGATCATTGCAGCGCTCAAGCCCAACCACCATGTCAAGGTGGCGGCTTTAGGTCGGGGGAAGAGGAATCAGTAGCGTAAGAAGTCTTGTTAAAATGGAGGTTAAATTGACACTCGTACGGTTACTGCATGCACTGTGAGTACTACTTTCGGAAGTGGGCACTAGTATCGAATCAGCCAGGCCAATTGGGACGGTTTACTTCTCCCAGATAGACACGATTAGGCTAGACATTCACCGGCTGAGGGATTCACGCCATCCACGAACAGAGCAGGTGGAAGATCGTCAGGACCAGGAGCACGATGACCTTTGAGTAGAATATACACTCGAACACTTCTAAGGCTAAAGAACACCTCATATTCAGTCACACTTTCTTTTGAAAGCCGGCATTCCGGATTGGATGTAGTAGGTAGCCAACAACACTGCTGTTCGAGGTGCTGTGTCCAGCGGCGTAAAAAGTTATCCTTTGATAGATATCGGAGTCCCATTTTGGTCCCTGGCAATTTCGCTGAAAAAAAGCTTCCGAGAACCAATCGAGCGAAAAAAGCGGAACAGCCTGCGGATGTCTCCAGCACTTTTTTCATCTTCCATTTCTTTGGCCTTTCGATTCCACTAAGCTTACTGGACTGCATGGTCACTGTTTCAACTGGCGACGGTTTAATTTGCGGTTGTGACAGGAGGAATCTGGCGCCGGGCCTCCAGCAGAGCCAAGGCTCTATCACAGATCCGGTGTTTGTATGACGTTGGCTGCGTTGTACCGCAAACAGTAGTTCCGGGTTTGAATGACTGATATCGGACGATGCAGCGATCTTACAAGGAGCCGGTCCTGATAGGATTGTTTGACCTGCGGATCCACTAAGCTAACGTCTCCCACATACTAACTATGATGCAGACCCCATCATACTGTCTTGAGCCTATATGGACACTTTTTAGCAAGCTCACTGATACTGACGGCAGGTCGTGACATATTGCAGTTCTCCTTTGTGAGGATAAATAGAACACGATTGTTTCACAGTTCCCTGCTACTCACAACCAATGGTCCACAGCAATATATGTGCAGTGTCAAGCATAAGACCAAAACTGAACTGAGGCAACCAAGATATCTTAGTGGTTGAAGTACAGATTCTCAGTTATACTTAACTGAAAAAGACTATTTAGAATCCATCAGGTTTGCATTGTTTGTTCCGAGAGACTAACGGCTCGATAGGGCTGCAACTAGCTTGTGGTGCTTGGCAAAGCGAGCAACACATCAAGGCTTTAGAGTGGTGTATTTTGCCAGAAGACAGGCAGAGGTGGAATCAAGACTAGGGAATAGAGCAGCATCTCCAACAGTCCTCCTTCAACCGTTTTTTTCAGTGGAGCAGGACCACTCGCGGCTCGGCCAAACAATACGAAGCGTCCAGAAGGCAAAAATGACATGAAAATGGAAAATTACTAATGTCGTCCCCATCCCAAAAGAAAACACTGTTATGCTACCGTCGGGATAATACGTCAAACGTAAAGCTGCCATCTGATTCGAAGTTCATATAACTTCTCACTACTTGACTGGGTTTCGATGTTACGGCAGCATGATAAAGTAGGTCCTGTAAGTGTTTTGTCGCCCAATGTTGCCAAAAGTTGAGTAAGTCATCATCACGATATCTTTTGACGAAAGTAACTGAGTAGCGTAAGGCAGAATTCTTGAACCACTCCAAATGTTACATAGATGATTATAAGCAACCGGGTTCCCAATGTCTAGATGTCGACAGGCAGTTCATATCTAGTGGATCCTGAAGTGCTTTCACGTCACTCTTAAAATAACAGACACTGGCACCATTCTTTCATTCGGAGCCGTTCTGATATAGTCCTCCATTCTGATCCACGACTTTCCCATTGTTTGTGGTGTCGTTGTAGTGAACAAGCTGGAAAAGGCTGTGTATCGAAACTGACTCAACAGCTGTTTGCTAGTGAATTCGGTTGCTATCAACATTATTTTACAATAAAGCTCCCAGGAACCGGTCGCACTCTTGATCGCACCAGCACACGGTTAATGTAGCGGTCGGCACCAACCATCAACCCCCGTTACAAAGATAACCTTGAGACTACTTGGTTCTACGGTGAAAAATAAATAAGATAATCGTTCAGCTGTAACACCATGTCGGCGCCTAGTTGCCATGCCACTCGAAAGATGCACGAGGGCGGGGATACTGTCAGATTGCCCAAGCTTGGACGGGAGAGGTCGAGAAGCAGAGGTCGGGTTCGAAACACGGACCTTTCGGCCAGTAAATTCGCGCTCTAATCACTGAGCAATCTCACCCCCGTTGAACAGTGAAATAGTCCGACATACGTCCCTATCCATCAACTGGATGCAACGGGCGTTTTTTCAGCATGGAACCACGCCCAAGTGATGGCAAGTTCAGCAGTTGGGCGCACCATAAGTAAACGTCGGTCATTAATCTTCATCGTTCCGTGCTACACTATCACCACAGCTTCTATTCCATGCATTTGATGTGTTCAACAAATTTTCGCATTTCTCTGCTTCGGCATTTGTACCCAAGTCTCAAGATGCCAGATTCATTGGTGTTAAATCTTTTCATGTGATCGCGAGGTCTGTTGCGGTTAACTGCATTTCTAATTCATAATGGCTTAGTCATCCTGATGTCTATCGGAAATGGAAGTTTCTTTATCCTTAACTCTTCGATGATAATCCCACTGCTCCGGATGCTGCCGACTAACGCAATCATTCGTCTCCAACTTTAAAGACGTTGCCACAATCCACTACCAGCCACCCACACGATCAACTTGACTATATGGTCGATCATTTATCACAGCCTATCGGGCAATAAATAGATAAATCAATTAGATGAACAAACAAATAAGCTGAAGAACAAAGGGTATAAACTTCTCGATGTGCAGTTGTCGTGCACCTCAAAGGACTCAAGGATGGTGGGATACTGCCAGGATCCCCAAGCCTACACAGGAGCAACTAATAAGCTGGAGTTCAGTTCGAACTACGGACGACCCAGGTATGTAGTTTAGCACCCCAGCCGCTAAGCTATGTCGAGCTACTAACTCATATCGAATTTCAAATCTTGTGAGGATGCTAGTGTGCTATATATGCGTGAGGTTCTGTTTGCCTGCAAAATACAACCCGGACAGACCCCCTGATTTTCTTCAGAATTTCGACTTTCTTGTGAGCGACTTTGATAATCAGGAAACAACAGCCGGCGGGAGTCGACATCGATCTTGGAATTAAAGAATACGGTTGACCTCGTCGGTTTATCAGAGATGGCTCAAAAAGCAATCTTCCATGTCTCATCAAATCTGCCTGAGACACTTGCCCAGTCGGCACTCCAACTTCACCATCGGACACATAGCAGATCGTTCCTAATACGCGGACCACTCAATCCGCATCTGTTGACAAGCGTTATTCGCGTGGGTGTCGAAAGCCTCCAAGTATCGGATGTTCTACTCAGGACACAATCTCCGATGGATGTGGAAAGTCAGATAATTTCCATGCGGCCTGTCTATCCGTTAGGTCTCATAAATTAGCAGAGGCGCCAACTTGAGACTTCTCCATTGATTCTACGTTCGTTGCTGCTGCTCGTATCTGTCTATTCGACGCCGCACCTGGATTTTAGGTCAAGTTCTTGCATATGTGTGTAGCTGTCACAAAGGGCCGTCACGAAGAGACTGACTCTTACCATGGTGT